GGCGGCCTCACCAGCTTCAGCTCCGACACCGAGGCGGCCGGCGATGCCGCCGAGCCGAGCAGCGCCGCCGGCGCCGGTGGCGCCTCCAGCGGCGCAGCGGCGCCGATTGAAGTCGGCCCGGCAGCCGACGACGGAGAGGCGAACGCCAGCGGCGGGACGGCGAGCGGTCAGACGCTGCGGTCTTCATCGCCCGCTTGTGCAGAGTGGGATGTGGCGGCCGGCGCTGTGAAGTCGGGTCGCACAGACGCGGCCGGGGAGACCAGCGGCGAGCCGGAGCTGCGTCGTGGGCGCGGTGAGTCGAAGTCGGGTCGTGCTGTGAGAACCGCGAAACCACGGCGTCGACGCGGCGGTGGGCGGAGCCGCGTCCCTCGGACGGACGACACGGACCAAATGACCCGCATGATCGCCTGTGATCTCGTGACTCACGCGGCGCAGGCGAGCTTCGGAGTCAACATGACGGGGTCGCAGGGGGACGAGGCGTATTTAGGAGAGTCGCAGACGCTCACGGTGAGGCCAGACCGCGAAGTGACGGTCGAGTCGGAGCCGGAGGCTGGCGTCTTAGGGTCGCTGTCAGAAGCTGGCGGGATGTATGCGGAGACCGTTGGGGCGGTGCTGAACACGAACGGCCAGAATGTGGGAAAAGGCGCCGGTCGTGGTGGCGATTCAGGCGACGTGGATGACGTCATCAAAACCGATGCGTTCCCCGCGGCCGAGTCGGCCACGGCGTCTGGCGCCCGGCAGCCTCACCAGATGACCGATGCCGCGAAGACGAAGCCGGCAACGCTCACCATGCACTCCACCCTCACGAGCGACGTGGTCGAGTCAGAACTGGCGACCGCCGCCAGCGACTCGGACCTCATGACTCGCGCCGCCGACCCGGACCTGGTGGCGGACACGCCCGACTCGGTGCTGGCGTCGAGCGCCGTCGAGCTGGACGCCATGATCGACGCGTCGGCGGCGGCGGCGGCGGCGGCGGCGTCCGCCGCGGGCCAGCGCGCGGCGCCCGGCGGCGCGGCCAACGGCAGTCCGCGCTCGGCCGACGCCAACCTGTCGGCCGAGGAGCTCTTTCTGCCCGACATGAGCGACGACTCGCAGCCGGCGGCCACCCCGGCGCGGTGGCTGCAGGCGCGCGTGGTTGTGGAGCGCACGTCGTCGCAGCTGATGCGCTTCAGCTACAGCCCGCATGACGCGGCGGCGGCAGCGGCGGTGTCCTTGGCGCCGCCGCCGCCGCCGCCGCCGCCGCCCGCGACGGCGACGGCGACAGCGACGAGGGCCGAGGACGCGGACGGGCAGCGGTGAGTGTGTGTGTGGGGGGGGGGGGGGCTCAGCACCTTCCGCCGTTCCCTGTTTCTTGGCAATGCAGCCCTGCAATGACGTCAGGTCATGCTGCCCGTAATTTGAGAGATCTTCTGGTGTTTTTGTATCGGGATTGGTGTACACAGCGGGGATTAGCCTGTTTATACTGGGTCGTGTGAATAGGCCTGGTGACGAAGTAGTCTGCTGTCAACCAAATCCCTCCAATGTCATTTACCCGCTGCAGCACCGAGTTCATAGACCTTAGAATCAAGCTTCGTCGTAACAGCTGATGTGTGAAAGTTCAGCGAAAACTCGCTCAGGATCTTCAGCCCTCTGTACGCCGCGTTCGTCATGTAAGAGTTGTGGGCGCAAAAGGACCATCTCATTCGGCGCGCCGTAAAACCCCAATCATCATCATGATAAGCTTGCACAACCAGTGTTTAGGCTGCTTGACAGTGAACCATGCGTAACACCACAGACTCGAGGCCAGTTTCGCGCCTGATTCGTCTGCCGCGCCGGGGAGCCGCCGCCGCCCGCACGTGTCCCTGTCTCTGCCCGATACTGACCGCGACCCCCGGCGTCCCGGGCGGCCAGCGCCGCCAGCCTGGAGCCGGAGGAGGAGGAGGCCGGCGCGGCGGGCGACCGCAGCGTCTGGCGGTGCGGCTACTGCGGCTGGAGCGTCTCCCTGCGTGACAAGGCGGCCATCCAGCAACACAGGAGCACCCACAAGCACCGCTGCGCGCGCTGCAAGATCTGCTTCGACACACACGTGAGTGTTCGTGGCGGGGGGGGGGGGGGGGGGGTGACGGAGATGCGTTGTGTCGTGAGGAGGTGGCGTCACATGACGCACGGGCGACTGTACTGTAAAGCCGCGATCTACGTCAGGAGAAGGCATGGTGACGGTTTCTTGTGTTCTGGAGAGCGGGAAAGTCACGGTTCTGCTCTGAATGGCTGTGCGACTTCCACATGACTTTGGTCCGTCCCCTATGCGGTTACGAGGCGATAAATGGACATTACGAACTTCGAGCACCATTCAAAATTTTAGACCGGTCATGGAGTTAGGAGCAATCGGTCCGCTTCGCCCGCCCGCTCTGCAGCACCAACCAGTGTCTGAAGGGGGGGGGGGGGGCTTAACTTTGGGGACGGGCACATTTCGTTCCCCAGATTTATGACCGGACTGCAGACAAAACGGTCTCCTTGATTTAAAGACAAGGCGTAGTTCAGAAATCAAACGCTTCGTTTTGGATCATGTGAACCATCTTTGTATAAAAAGCTGTGCTGCCGGAGGTGCAGCAAGTTACGTTACGGCATGGTGTCCTCCAGCTGCTGTGTCTTGCGCTTCACCCCGTGCTCACCAGACCCCAGTTGCCTCGACTGACGGTGACACGCCGCCGGTCGCCACAGGCAGCCATGATCTCGCACCGGCGCGCGCGTCACCGCGCCGTCAGCGCCGCCACGCGCTCCTGGCGCTGCGACGTGTGCCAGATGGACCTGCACGGCCAGCTGATGATCGTGCGCCACCGCTCGTCGGCGCGCCACCACATGCGCGTCGAGCTCTGCCGCACCCTGCTCGGCAGCATACGCCGCGTGATGCACGGTCAGTGGCGGCGCCCGCGGGCAGCGGGCTGGCGCGCCGCGCCGCGCGGCGCTGGTGCACTCGGCGTGGTCGAGCGTCGAGCGTCGAGCGACCACAACTCCCACCACAACTCTGGTGGGCGTTGTGCTGCCGTTGTGGTGTTCGTGTGTGCGTGAAGCTTGGCAGGGGTGGGCGCTCGGTAGAGGTGCGTCCATTTCTGGTGATTAAGCCGGATTCAGCTTCACACAGCGCTACACTGCTGGGTAGCTCGCGATTTCATGACTTTTTCCGCTATTGTTTTGGGGGTTACTGATATCTCTTTATGGCTTGCTTAGCACCTTCCGTCTTCAGGTACAAATATCACTCAGTTTGATGCGCATGTTGTAAATGGTTAGCTCCGCGCTTTGGCCTCGGCTGAACAGCGGCTTTGAAACACGCTCGATCCACGCGATTGTAGCGCATGGCTTCGCGAAAAGCGTTGACAGAGCGCGCGTCAAACGGCCCGTCACGCAGTGGACGTCCTCGCGAAGGTGGCGCGTCGCCTCCACGCCAGCCGGTTACCAGCCCCTCGACTGCATCACGGCCCGAGCCCTCGCGGCAGCCCGCTACCAGTCCCTCTGCTGCGTCACGGCTCGAGCCGCCGCGGCAGCCCGTTACCAGCCCCTCGGCTGCATCACGGCTTGAGCCGCCGCGGCAGCCCGTTACCAGCCCTTCGGCTGCGTCACGGCTCGAGCCGCCGCCGCGGTGTCCGGCCAGATCAGCGTCCGTGACCTGACTGACCCGACGCGTGACTTCAGGAGACAGCGGCGCCGACTCTGACGGCGGCGACCTGGCCGGCATGGTGCGCGAGGCGCTGGGCGACCAGCTGCCTGACCTCTATCAGCTCGGCGCCAACGTGAGCTCACCGGCCGCCCGCACTGCAGGCCGATCTTGGGGTCATTACTCAGGGACTGAGCGGAGTCTTGGCGTGGCATGGACAGCTTAGCACTGGTAGCTTTGGTGGAATAACATGTCGCACAGCACAGCGTAGCAAAGCACGTGTATCTTTGCGGTCCAGTTGCACGGCAATCGATTTCATTTCGGTCGCGAGGCTTCTCCGGCTCTCGCGGGTTGACCTTGAGATAGGATAGCCCTGCCGGACGTCGAGCTGGCCGGCGCGCCGCCATCGACCTCGGGCCGCGGGCGGCCGTCAGCTGCCGTGACCGGACCGTGCCCGCCGTCAGATGACGCTGCACGGCGCGTCTGGCCGCTCGACGGGGCTGAGCATGCCGGCGCTGACAGACGTCATGAACCGGCTGGTGAGCGCTGTGGGCGACGCCGAGCCGCCCACCCCGATCACGCCCTCGCTCACCGACTCGAGCGGCGCCGACAGCGTCGAGGTGAGGTCTGCAGCGCCCCTCCCCCTCGCGCGCGCCAGGCTGCCGACCGACCGGTGGTGACTGCGTCGGTGCCATGGAGATGGGAGTGTTCGGCGCGGAGGAGCAGCGAACTTGAGGGCGGTGCCCTTATGATGGGTTGCTGGGTATCCTTGGAAGATTTTGAGTTACGTAGCTTGTCTTGCTTTCAGGTGTGGCGCATGGTGTAGTGTATGTAGTATGCACCATTCAAGTTGTGTTGTCACCGTTCCAATCGTGTAGGCACCAACCATGACATCCTGTTGAGACTCAGCATGCTTGCAAATGTCGATCAGAGAGATGTGGATCTGTCCTACCAACATTGAGCCCACCGTGGGCTGCTAGAGCCGGGTTCACGGCATCTCCGCCGCTGCCCTGACCTCTGACCTCCGCCAGGTGAAGCCGCTGTGCAGCGCGGCGTCGGCTGTCGAGTCGACGGTGAGCCAGGCCGGCGACGAGACGTCCCCGAATGTGCGGCCGGCGCCGGCCTGCCGCTGCCGCGAGCCGGCCGAGCGCTGGGAGCCGCCGCGATGGCCGCCGCCGCCGGCCGACCCGGCGGCCGACGGCGGGGCCGCAGCGCCGGCCTCGGACGCGCAGGCGCCGCCGCTCGCCGCGCACCAGACTCCGGCGGCGCGCAGGGACTCGGCGCCGGCGACCGGCTACTGGCAGCCTCCGCCGTGGGCGGCCGGCCGCGACGCCCCGCCGCCGCCGCCGCTGTCGCGAGCGCCGTACGGTTACGGTCCGTACGCGGGGCCGTACGCGCCGCCGCCCTGGTACCAGACGCCGTACGATTCGATGCGCGGCTTCTGGCCGTACCGGCCGCACCCGGGCGTGTACGGGCCGCCCGGGTACGCGCCACCGTACGAGCCGGCCGGGCCGTACCCGCCGACCACGGCGTACCCACCGACCGTCGGGTACCCGCCGCCCGGGGCGTACCCGCCGGTGGGGGCGTGGCCGCGCTGGGACGTCGCCTGCGCGAGCGGACCGCCGCCGCCTCCGTCGCGAGAGCCGGCTGGGCCGCCGGCGCCGCCCGCCTCTCCGGCGCCGTGGGGCGCGCGGGCCTCGCCTCAAGCGCCGGCCAGCGCCGGCTTCCTCTCCACACCACAGCAGGCCGGCGGCAGTGGTGCTGAGGACTTCGAGGGGATATGGCTGCAGATGGTGTCGCGTTAGAGGCAGCGGAGGGCGACCCGGTGACCGTGGGACGGACTGACGGGTGGAGAGCGGGGGTGGCGGCAAGAAGTAGAGACACGACGTAGTAACCGGATGATCCTTTCCGTTAAGAGAGCAGTTACAAACAGAGTTAGGGGCTATTGGCCTTATGCTGATGTTACCTGGCTACAGGTAACCACAACGCTGTGATGGTTTGCAGACGTCTGGATGCGGTGTTGCGTTACGGGGTAAAGAGGAACCGGCAGAGATGATAAGCGGGTTGCGAGGGACACGTCGCAGGGTAATGCTGAACTCTTCATAGTCATGATCGAAGACCAGTCCGCCGGTACCTGCAGATGATGCTGGTACAGAGGACGTTGTTGTAGCTTCCGAGATCGCCAGCCGATGTCCAGATATAGTGAGATGTCCAGAGCGTATAGCAGGGAGTGCCTGCTAGTGCCTGGGTGCAGATGTTGGATGGGTCGGGTATTCGCACGATGTACCTGGATGCACGTGTACCTGGAAGGGGGGGGAAGGGGGGCATCGACCACAGCTGCAAATAGTAAAGCGGTGTGTTCAGATTGCCAACATCGAGCGGGGGCGAGCTCTGGGGAGCAGCCACCGCTTTGAGACGTTTCAAATCGGCGTAGCCTTGCAAGTGTCGTTTGTGATCTCGTGTCGACGTGATATGTGCTCGTCCGGAGCGGCATTCGTTCTTTGATTCGTTTGTTGGAGCGCAGCATTTCTGGTGCGTCGGCGGTGATACTGGTCGGCCTCCTCGCTATGTGATTGGATCTCAGGGTTTATGGGCCGAGACGGGCGCACAGTCAACCTTCTGCTCGTGTAGTCAAGCGCCGTTGTTCCTTATGCTGCCAGATGCAGCCCCATTGTCTTAACCAAGAAATCGGCGGCACCTGGCCAAGGTTTGGCGCGTGCTGCAGTTTTAGGCCTTCCTGGCAGCTGTGATTCCCTCACGGAAGGATTTCCTAGTGTCACGCTTATGTTTTGTTTTGAGAAGAGGACGTATATTTTCCCCAGTTTTACGATGGCATTGCCACCACTTTTCTTCATAATAAAAAGATCGCTAGATCGCGTGCCATTGTAAAACTGCTTGCGCAGGAAGTGCCGAGGTCTGAGAGGCGGCTTTGCGCCACGTGCAGCCTCTGCTGCCCTGCTGGCGCGGCCCCGCCTCGAATGGGGACTCGGCCGCAGGTCCGAACAACCAGCATCTCCAAGGACTCCACCGGCGCATCTCCGATGCCGCCCAAGGCCAGGACGGTTGACGGCACTGTCGTACCCGGGGATCACCCGTCCCATCCTGACCTCGGCGCTGGTCACGCCCGTTTTCGACGTCTGCCACTTGCTACTGAGCTCCATGGCTAGGCGTTGTTGTGGCAACTGCTGAATGGCTGCAAGTATATCCGACCACGTTGACAGAATAATGAAATTCGTATTTTATTGTAAGCGTCCCACACACAAGGAATGTTAAGACTAGAGCAAGATATGTTGAGGCTAGAATGCATGCGATGCGCCCGTGCGAGTTCCTTAAACACGTGCACCCCGCATCTAGCAGGCTATAAATCAGTCCTGTGAAACAATATGCGACACGATAAAAAATCCAACAGCCTGCCTCAGACAAGCGCGTACAGAACACAGGCAACAAGCGAGTCATTGAGTATGCAGATGACATTTGAAGACAATAGCAAACACAAATAATGAGTCACAGCAAACGGTCTCGCACCTAAACGATGCTATGAATTGAGAACGGCCGCGGCGTGGTTACAATTGGCGTACGATCTTTGTCTTCTGTCGCTTTTGTGGGGGGGGGGGGGGGGGGCATAGTGTGAATTTTGGTTAAACTTAAATGTTGAAACGGTTAACCACAAAAGCTGGTCCGCTCCGATTTCCGCAAACAAAAATAAAAATTCTGTAAAAACCAGGCGGCGAGAGGCAAACTTCCTCACCGCGCGCAACGCAGTATCCCGATTTGACTCGGAAGTGCCTTGCATGTTCCAGCAAAATCTCGACCGAGGCCACGGAGAGATCGCACTGACCTAGTGTTGACAAAGTGGAGCAGGATCCACTGTGGTTAGCTTATAAAACGCAACGCAATCCAGGTAAGCTCCGCTCAGCGACCCTCTCCATAAGAGAGCACAATGGAAGGCTTGAACGCTACAATAGGCGCCCATAGAAGACAACGATGGGGCATAACGAGTCAGTGGGATCGGACAGACGCGCACCAACTTGGTGCCCATCCTGCACCAAAAACAGCACAGAGTGCGGCCCCGCCTTCACCTGTACCCGTGCCCAACACCTCGCCGCCGCGAACTCACAACGCGGCCTTCAAGAGAAGTAGTGACCTCGGTAGTCTCGATGGTACCGTATTTACCATCATCCTACACAGGAACAGCAGCGCGGCGCCTAACTGCCGCCGCGCCGACACGGCTGGTGCGCTATACACATCTACCCCTCACTGGCCTGATCTTCTCCCCATGCCCACCGCGCCCACACGTTGGACGTCTACAACCTACTCCTCAACCGCTGCCTGCCTCCGAACGAGTCAACCTCCGAGGGCCGGCGCCCACCCTCGCGCCACGCACGCACACGATTGTGCGCCGCCGACATCGCCGCCACACAAGCGCGGCCTCCGGTAACGCCGACGCCCTAGGCGCACCAGTTCCCCTCTCGCAGTGCCGGTGCGGGCCCGCCTCGGGTCGTCGCTAGAGCCGGATCTTGGTGCCGCGCGGCAGCGCCAGTCGCACCAGCGCCGCGACGGCCCCGCACCGGCACAGCCATCATCTGTGCTTGCGTCGCTTCTGCGCCAACTGCACCGAGCCGGCGTGGATGAGCACGAGGCCGAACACGACCAGCACGAGGCCCGACCACCACAGCACGCCCAGCGTCTCGCCGAACAGCAGCTGCCGGACGGGGCTGGAGTCAGCGTCACGACACAGCTGCAGCGGTCGACAAGCGGCGCTGCTGGGTGGGCGGGCGTCAGGGAAGCGGGCAACAGCTGCATGCGAAGCGTCCGGGAAGCGGGGGGAGGGGAGCAGCCGCACGCACAGCGTCGCCACAAGCAGTGGTCGCGGGCGAAGCTGCTGCCGTGGCAGCTGGAGACAGCACAGCTTCCAAGCTCAGCGTCCCAGCAAACGCCACCTGATGACGAGCACGGTGGGACCTAACCAAAACGCAGGTAACCACATAATGTGAATTACCACAGCGTGGCCCGCACCAGCCAAGACCATACATCGCGCAAGCCAGACGTGTAATCCACAAATGATAGAAGGAGCCCACGCACACCGACCTCGTAGTACGGACAGTCAGTGCCACATCATGGAAGTTCCGCGCCTCACAGAGAATAGCTTAACAACCGACCAGTTCGGTCCGATAACACACCAGGACGAAGACGCGACTACCAGCCAGAAGTATCATACTTCGCATGCGCCTACTACAGGCTCCTAAGCGCATCTCTCACAAACAAGGCGACATAACAGCAGCGAACACGATGACGGAGAGGCCTCGTGGCAGCGGTCGGCTCACCTGGCTGATGACGGCCGTGATCAGCATGTTGGAGGCGGTGGTGATGACGATGGCCTCCAACGAGGAGGCCGAGTGGCGCAGCGCCTTCGTGAAGGAGGTCCACAGCAGAGCGTTCACCAGCAGGGTCAGCAGGAACGCGACCACGCGGAACACGATCACGCGCTGTCGACCACCACCGGACGATGTCATACTGATGTCAGCTGCGCCGCCAACACGCCCACCGAGACACAGAGATCTGGCTCAACAGAAACTCAACACAGCACAGAAGGTGCAGCAAAAATGATTTGCTGGAGCTGGCAAGCAGCTATGACGTACAACAACGTGCATCAAAGCTATATGCATGTGTGTACGCGCAAACATGGCATATGGCGAAATGCCCACAATGTTCCAGCATCCTTGTTAGGTATGTTTAATTTCCATATCCCATCCTCTCACCCAAACACGCCGGCAATCGTCAGCATGTCTGGGTGAGATATTTAAAGCACAAATAATTAGAGCAACAAAGAGCTACCCTTTCATGATGCATACACCACGCCACCACGGACACAACATGTTGAGGCGTCGGGGTGTGTACGCGTTCCGTGGACAGAGGTCCGGATCGTCATCGGACAGTCTCACCCGCTTGTGGATGGAGCCCCGGATCGTCACCGGACAGTCTCACCCGGTCAACGACGAAGCCCCGGATCGTCATCGGACAGTCTCACCCGGTCATGGATGGAGCCCCGGACCGTCACCGGACAGTCTCACCCGGTCATGGATGGAGCCCCGGACAGTCACCGGACAGTCTCACCCGGTCGTGGATGGAGTCCCGGATCGTCACCGGACAGTCTCACCCGGTCAAGGATGGAGTTCCGGATCGTCACCGGACAGTCTCACCCGGTCGTGGATGGAGTCCCGGATCGCCACCGGGCAGTCTCACCCGGTCAAGGATGGAGTTCCGGATCGTCACCGGACAGTCTCACCCGGTCAAGGATGGAGTTCCGGATCGCCACCAGACAGTCTCACCCGGTCATGGATGGAGTTCCGGATCGTCACCGGACAGTCTCACCCGGTCATGGATGGAGTTCCGGATCGTCACCGGACAGTCTCACCAGGCCATGGATGGAGTCCCGAATCGTCATCCGGACAGTTTAACCCGGTCATGGATGGAGTTCCAGATTGTCACCGGACAGTCTCACCCGGTCATGGATGGAGTTCCGGATCGTCACCGGACAGTCTCACCCGGTCATGGATGGAGTTCCGGATCGTCACCGGACAGTCTCACCCGGTCATGGATGGAGTTCCGGATCGTCACCGGACAGTCTCACCAGGCCATGGATGGAGTTCCGAATCGTCACCGGACAGTTTAACCCGGTCATGGATGGAGTTCCAGATTGTCACCGGACAGTCTCACCTGGTCATGGATGGAGTTCCGGATCGTCACCGGACAGTCTCATCCGGTCATGGATGGAGTTCCGGTTCGTCACCGGACAGTATTACCCGGTCATGGATGGAGCCCCGGATCGTCACCAGACAGTCTCACCCGGTCGTGGATGGAGCCCCGGATCGTCACCAGATAGTCTCACCCGGTCGCAGAAGCCCAGCTGCGGCTGCACCAGGCCGGTCAACATGAGGAACTTGCTGGCGAGCAGGCAGAGCCAGTGCGCCTCGCTGTAGGAGGCGGCGAACTTGCCAGTCAGGCCGGCCAAGGCGGCATACAGGCCCGTCTGGGTGGCATACCAGACCCCGATCGGCTGTCCCAGGGGCACAACATGGCAGATTAGACCCCAGTCAGGCTGGCCAAGGCAGCACACAGGCTGGTATGGACAGGATACCAGACCATGATCAGCTGTCTGAGGGGCACAACAAGGCAGATTAGACCCCATTCAGGCTGGCCAAGGCAGCACACAGGCTGGTCTGGACAGGATACCAGACCCTGATCAGCTGTCTGAGGGGCACAAGGCAGATTAGACCCCAGTCAGGCAGCATGACAGTGTTGTAGCATGCCCTGGGCTTGTGTTGGAATACATACCCTGGGGCTTGGTGGAAAGTTCCCAGCAAATCTGAGTGGCCAGGCCCAGAATCAGTGGTCATGGGACAGCAGCTGTGACCACAGGGATTGAGCAGTTATCATCCACTATGAGCCTTACCCTGAACATTCAATATGGGGAGTGCTGAACATAAGCTCATCACTGAGAAATGAATGTCACAGTGCTTGTCATGGCCAAAACATGACCACAAGGTGAGGTTTTAGTAATGAGATCATGCTAAAGGTCATGACAGGGTGCTGATTCAGCTACAGACATAAGACAAAGATGTGGACTACAGTATTATGTGTTAGTGAAAAGTGACCACAAGTTACAGGCAGACATGATATCTACCAATTGCCTGGTCTTTGAACACACCTACACCATACAGTGCAATGCATTAAGTTAATCTGAGCCCAGATGCCACATGTACATGCCACTTGGCTCCAATTGGCTCAGTGCAGTTCATGCTTTGGCTGAAGCAGTTTAACCTGGTGTGGAATAGTTTTAAAAGCAAATATGGCATTCCATAGTGGTGCCAGATACAAATATATTACATAACTCTGCAGGGAAACACTTCCAAGTTAAAGGAGCATACAACACTGTTTTCTTACCTGCATGGTGTAGTTCTCCAAATCAGATCTGTCCAGGAACAAAGCAAAAAATACTTATATGCAATTTACAGTAGTCAGCCCAGTCATAGTATCCCTTATGTCACTGTTGGAAGGATGTGGTCTGAAACAGCCATGGCTAGTGTAATGAAAAAACTGCATGGCATGTATACAGGTAAAAGCATCCTTAGTAGACAAACTGATTGGTAAATAGAATATCATGAATGATTATCTACATCATAAGGTGATTTTTGTACCAAAGCCAGTCTGCTGGGTGCAAAATGATTTCAACTGTCTAATAACAAGCCCGGCTGAAAAAATATGATGAAAAAAATTGATGAGTGGCAATGGCGCAATGAAAAATCACGGTCATGCATGTTGGCCCGAGGCAGACATGCCACACTCTGGTTTAATACATCATGACTTCTTAGGGAATCATTGAAATTGCTGTATAGGACATTTGATTACAGTGACTGTCACTTCCTAGGACCTAAATATATACACAGCCACACTCAAGCCAACAGGGTCATGCTCACAAAAACTCAAGAAAATCTCAAAGTTACTACCAAATGGTGTCAAAGCTAGAAATAACCAATGAATTGTGCCCACAAATGGTCAGATCCTGTACTTATGTCTTCTCTGCTTTTGTAGACGCACAACAACATTGGTTTTGTCAGTCTAAATGTATGCAAGTCACAACCCAGTTACAACAAAAAAGAGCCACATGGCCAATAAGCACACATATCCAAAGCCCAGTGTATCCACCTACTTTTTCTACTCAAATTGGAAAATGGCCCGATTTTGTGCACTGTACTGGGCGCAGAGACCACCTAATGCGCACCAGCGTCAACTTGCACGAATGCAGGCGTCAACCTAAGCGCAGTACGATATACGATCAAAAAAGGCCTTAAATCTTACGGGCATGCATGAATATACAAGGCATTTCACTTGTCGAGACTACGAAGCGCACAATATATCCAAATTCTTTGTTTACAACTGATGCCACCCATTCTCCCTTCAATAACTAACAGATCCGCAACCCGTGGAACTGCTTCTGTTTTGTCGCCGTCGCGCAATAGCCTAAGGTGCAAGTTCTGACGTTTTACACACGTAATAAGATTTTATCGATATGCGTCTATCTTGTGAAGTGTGAAACAATAAAATATTTCGTGTGACTCTATAATATTTTGTTTCCTTAATTTGTTAGTAGCATCTTTCCAATGCACATGAATATTTTCGTCGAGTTGCGTTATGTTCAGAAGACACGTCTCTCAAGACAGCTTCGTATTTGCATTCACATTCAGACACACGTTCGGACCCGGACGCTTTCGATTTCGCCCAAATTTCGCGCACAAGTAGGAGTCACTGAACAGATAACGGCGTCCCAGTCATGGCCTATCACATTAAAAACTTTGACCTCCAGAGGCAGCCAAGGTTCTTGGTCATTGACTTGGACCCCTACGCTTTTGCCCAAATTTCGCACACATTGCCTGCTAAGCTGAAAACGGTTGTATCACTTGTAAATAATCACATCGAAAACGTTGGCGTCCAGAGGCAGCCAAAGGTCCCTTCGTATTCGTAATTGCATTCAGATTAATATCCGAACCCGGGCTCCTACGATTTGGCTTAAATTTTGCTCACAAGTGGGTTACTGGGCAGACAATGTCGTATAAGTCATTCCCATCACATTGAAATCTTTGGCTTCCAGAGGCAGTCGAAGTTAAAGGTCATTGACCTGGACCCCCACGCTTTTGTTTAACTCGGACCACAACAATTTGGGTAAAAACATACATACACAGAGCGCTCAATGCGCTGATCACGCTGCAGCAAGCCGTTTTGTCATATTAAAAAATGAGCCGTCCAGAGGCTCGTGTGTTTGCCGTATTCACATTCAAATCTTAGACGTTTATTTTGACGAAAATTACATACATGCGAGTAGTACTTGATGCGGACGAATATTCGGACTTGTCCATTACCTGACCTATATCAATTTAGCTACAAACTTACTTGCAAGGAGTACTCAATGCTCTGATCACGCTGCAGCAAAACGTTTCTCGTCGCATTGAACAACTGAGCTTTCTAGGCCCAAGAGTGTTCGCCGTATTCACGTTCAAACCTCAGGTTTGGACTACGCCGATTACACGGACCCCTACAATTTAACTAAAAACATATATCCAGGCAGTGTTCGATCCACCAAACGCGGCAGCAAACCGTTTTGTGCCGCATTGAAAAATGAACCTCGGATTCGTCCATTACTCGAACGTATACGATTCGGCCAAAAACATCCATGCGAACAGTACTCGATGTTCTGATGACGCTGCAGGAAACTGTTCTACGTCGCACTGAAAAATGAGCCTTCTAGATCCAAAAGTGTGTCCGTCATCTTTACATTCAAACCTCAGCTTAGGATTGCGCCAGTTGCCCGCACCCCTACAATTTAGCTAAAAGCATACCTGCAGGGAGCGTTTGAGTGACTGATTACGCTGAAGCAAGCAAGCAAGCGTCACATTGCAAAATGAGCCGTGTAGGGACAAGACTGTTCGCCATGTTCACGTCCAAACCCCAGATTCGGATTCGTCCATTACCCAGAACCATACGATTTAGCTGAAAAGATGCGTGCAGGGAGTACTCGATGTGATGATCATGCTACAGCAAAAGCTTTGGCGTCACCTTGAAGAAAGCTTTCTAGAGCCAAGCGTGCCCGCCGTTTTCACATTTAATTTATCATGTTCAGATTCGTCGATTATCGGACCCGTTTTGTTGGTCTAAAAACTCGCGCACAAATAGTGCTCAATGAGCTGATCACAATGGTGTGAACTGTGTCCTGTCACACTGAAGACTTTGACATACAAAGGTCTCCACAGGTCCAGGTCAGTGACCTCGGACCCCGTGATCTGGCTAAAATCATGCGTATAGGGGCCACTCAATGCGCCAATCACGCTGCACCAAAGGCATTTGCGTCACATTGAGAAATTTAAACTTCTAGAGCGAGAAGAGTGTTCATTAGGTTCACACTATTGCTTCAAAAACGCGTTCGCCTAATAGTATGACCACTTTTATTAAAACTGTTGATACAGACAGCACCTTATGCGCTGATTACCATGCAACTGTTTCTTCCAACTGAAGTGTTTTCCACCACACTGAAAAATGAGCCTCTAAAGGTGAAAGTGTATCCTCCGTAGTTACACTGAATTTTTCAGATTCGTGTTCGTCCATCGCCTGAGCCCCTTATGATTTCTTTAAAAACTCGCGCGAAGATAGTGCTCAGGGAGCTGGTCACGATAATTAAAATTATACCACGTCATATGGCAATGTAACCCACAAAGGCCAGCACAGTTCCAGTTCAGTGGCATCGGACCTTTACGATTTAGCTAAGACATACATGCGTTGAGCAACCAATGCACCGATCACGCTGCAGCAAACCGTTTTGTGTCACATTAACTCTAAACCGGGGCGCAATATGACCTATGTAGTCGGCGCGCCCAAAAACCCTGATTAACAACAACTCTTAACCGGCTGAGAGGTTGTTGACATTCCCCCTCCAGCTTTATCGAGGGCAGAGGAAAAAAACGAAAAATTCAGCGGAACGAAATTCTTAGCACATTTTCCTTGATCTTTTCAGATGTTGTGTCAAATATTTGACTATACGAAGGTCAGGTCACTGACTTAGATCAGGTCACGGGGTCCAGTGTTCGAAGAATATTATACTCCCGTAACTTTTTGGGAAAACAAGATATCGATACTTAGGAATTACATACATGTATTCACTTCAGGATGTACAGATCTGCGATGTCAGATTTTCGGAACTCGCTTAGTAGCCGACCTGAAGTTAGGCCAACCTTAGGCCAAGTTGAGTATTTTATGTGCATCTTTTCATAGATTCTTTTTTAACACCACGCATGTAGAATAGTGCCCAAAGAACGATATTAGTCACCCTCTACCGTTGCAGATTCTTTAAGAAACAAGAAAACTGAAATAAGTTTCCGCCGACTGTCTGACCTGCCGCCGGCCGTCTACCGCCGGCCGTCGGAATCAGCCGGCGCCGTGGAATCCATGGCCATAACATGAACGAAATATTGATCAAAACTAGAAAATGATGTGCCCCTTGAGCTCTGATCGTCACTTTGCTCGTACGTTGCGCTTTATTTTACCATCCGGCTAATCATGTGGAACTTGGGAAGACGTTAACATCCTCCCAGTTGGGTATGTATGGCGGCCGACCTCCGCCAAAACATACACACGTTTTAGAGGCAAAAGTGTGTCCGCCGTATTCCGATTCAATTCTTCAGATCCGGATTCGTTCACTCTCGGACCCCTATGGTTCTTATAAAAGGGTGCACACAGATAGTACTCAATAAGCTGATGATAACAGTACAGACCGTATCCTGTTAACCTGAAAACCTTGACCTACAAAGGTTTATACTGATCCAGGTCATCGGCCTGGGATCCCTACAATTTGGCTAGAAGCATGCCTATAAGGAGTACTCAATTCGTTGATCGCGCTGCAGCAAACCGTTTTGAAAACCGCTATCTGTGTGCGCAGTTTAAACCAAATCGTAAGGGTCTGGGTCAATGACATAAAACTTTGTCTGTCTCTAAAGGTCAAAATTTTCAACGTGATGGGAGATGGCTGATACGTCGTTACCAGCTCACAAGGCACTATCTGTGAACGAAATTTGAACAAAATCGTAGGGATCCGGGTCGATGACCATCGGCTCGTTAAACCGAACTGGCGGCTTTGTGCCAATCATTGGACTGCCTGGGGCGATCAGGGACATTGCTGCGTCCATGAGAGTTCCTGCGTCGATCCGGTGTCAACTATGTAGGTCAGGAGGCCTCCCACGTCAGGGAGAAGACCAATATGGCATGATACCCCTCTCAGGGCTTCTGGATCGGTCCAGGAAAGAAATAAGGGATCTCATTAGTACTTAATGGGGTGGATCGGAATGGGTCAAACAACGAACAAGGCCATCCGGTGTTTGTCTAAGAACGTTTCTTCTCTTGCAGAATCAACTAGTGAAACAAACTGCACCAAGAGTCAGTTAGTTTGAAGGTTAGAAAGTGAAACGAACTTCTAATCCACCAGCCGGTTGTGCATGGCGGCCTGTCCTCAGTTGGGCACGGGATATGCCGCTCATTCCTAGGTACGCCGAGCCTGATCATTATGATGGTGTGACAAAAAAGTAGTGGAACAAGGTACAAGAAAACGACGCGTGCAGCAAATGTTGCATGTAATATACCACAAAATATAAGTTTGCACCAACACGAAAAACAACACAAAATTATTTCAAACATATTTTTAACTGTTCCACGTCCGCATACTGCAGGAAACAAATAACAAAACGTGTGTGAACAAATGTTGTGCCAAATGTGACAAACACTGTCACATTTGTCGGGATAAATACCTGTGCCCAGCCCGGGTCGCTCGTGGTCGCTCTTCTGATTCACGCACACAACTTCAGCGTATACCAACAGACAGCGAAACATTCCCGTAGGTGGATCAATATCATCAGGATCGGCTGCCTGATGAGCCACGGCATTTCCTCAAAAAGTTCGCCTTTTTAATTGGCAGACGAGAATCGACGCCACAAATGGAAAAATAATTCCCAGAAATTAGTCAATAATACCGCCGAACCTGGAACGTAAATGTATCTTCGTTCGGGATTATCTAATATAAGATTTCCTACCTTTTCATGCGTTAAAGTCTGAGAGCAGTACTCATACCAATCTATTCAATTCCAGCGTGTCCGGGGTTCCAGCCTAGTGCCCGGGAGGTGGGGGGGGGGGGGGGGGGGGGGGGGGAGGGGGAAGACTGTATTGTCACAGATGCAAATGCTGCGAGCACGAGACTCGATAGTGACGCAGGAAAGCTGTTTGAGACACGGTTTTGATGGAAATGCGATTTATGACAA